CCGTCAACGAAATAATTATAGAGGCACCGTTGATAGTGGTACGGATTCGAAGCTCAGATGGAGCGGACACGTCATGCAATTTCGTGATGGCTGTTGGATCAGAGCTATTACTGACTTTACCCATACGGACGTCAAACGAACACCAGAAAGACCGCCAACGCTGTAGTCACGCTCCTCCGTGAAAGCTCTGAACAAAGGTATTGCTGTGCAAGGTCATGACAAGGGCGTTTGGAGACGTTATCGGCGTCCACTCCAGCAAATCGATGACCAACGCGACACAGGGATACAATTTATCGGTGTAACCAGTTGACCCTTATCCTTCGAGATGCAGTAGCTGTCTAAACGCAGCAGCTTCTGCATCTCGAAGGATAAGTGTTAACGGGTTAGACCGGTAAATTGTATCCCTGTGTCAGGGTCACTTCATTTAGCCCCCTTTACTGGTGAAGCTCCAGCGTGCTTCGCGAGTGCTCTTCCCGATCTCGGTGGCTTCGGCTAGAACTACTGCTCTTCCCTCTCACAGATTTTTCACTATCACTTCTGTGCATAGTTGTTAAGTCCGGACGTTTATTGCTGATTGCCTACAGTTCGCGGGATTCCACGCTGGCATATCAGCTCAAGAGTCTTCGTCGAGAAACGTCCCTTTGCTACTCATAGACTCCCTGCCACTCTATCACAATTGTAAACATGTTCAAAGAACCGATAATGGATTTATTTGCAGAAACGTTCAGGGGACACGACTTAATGACCATCTTGGGGCTCCGTTATTTGAATACCGCAGCTCTCGCGCCACGTATATACTCAAAAACAGTATTTAGGAACAGATTAAGATAAAACCTTTCTTCATGGAGTTGTCTGCCAGATGACTCCCATGTCTATAGTCAAGGAAAAAGAAAGGAAGGCCTCTGAAACTGCAAACTACAATTGATGCAAACTCTGCTTGGCTATGCTCTTCTCATTCCATTAGTTCGTTACTAGATGTTGATAACTACGGTATATTACGATGTGATAGGCGCGGAAAACAAGGAGGGGGAGTAATGATTCTCATAAAAAAGATATTCTACTACGTTGAAGTGTTTTCAGACTCTGTCATTGATGGTTACGAAATTTTATCAGTGGACATTCTTTTTGATAATGCCAAAATAAGGCTCATGGTGGTTTACAGTGCCCCATCTTGTTCCTCAGCTTATAAGTGCCATAAGTGATTTGACCATGTGTGAACATCCTACTGTTGTAGTAGGCGATTTCAATTTTCCGGAGATAGATTGGGATAACCTCACAGCATGTCGTTCCACCTCCGGTGCCGCTTTTCTGGATATGTTGACAACACATAACTTTAAGCAATACGTTGTCGAGCCAACAAGGGAGGGAAACATCTTGGACCTAATACTTTCGAATGATGCTACCCTAGTTACTAATGTGGTAGTGGGGCCTCCAATCGGAAACAGTGACCATGAGAGTCTCTCATTTTGTATTAATCATCACTATTGGGAACCTCAATTCACACTTCACAGAGATTTCAGGAGCTGTGACTTCAAAAAAGTTTGTGACTTTCTTTCANCAAACGAACACCAGAAAGACCGCCAACGCTGTAGTCACTCTCCTCCGTGAAAGCACTGAACAAAGGTATTGCTGTTCAAGGTCATGACAAGGGCGTTTGGAGACGTTATCGGCGTCCACTCCAG